AATCACTCAGTCAAGTTTGGCAATATGTTGTAATTTCTGAATTATTTCTTTCTCTTTCTAACATTGACTCGGGAAAATTAATATTGTTCCAAGAGTTACCTCCATCCATTACGAAAGTCGTGTACTGGATAAAGGTTTTATTTTTGGTTTTTATTATAGATGTTTAGACGTCTAAACCCTCTTTACTTTATCAGGAGGATAACAGCGATGCATCAGCTACAGTCCAACCAGTTTGATCAATCGTAGAGCCATCCGTTCTGTTTGTCCCTCTATCCGTCTGTTTGCGGAGATGGGCTTTCATAGGGTTCATTACGAGACTGGGACACCGTAATGCCCTGTGAAATCCCAAATGCGCCTACATTCAAACAACAGAGGGCCTGTAGGAAGAGCTACACGCACGCAAGTCGGGGGTACGGTAAGGGCTACTACGTTTGTTTCCAAGTCAAGGACTTGGTGTTTCATGTTCCTTTGATATACTTCTTGCTTCTTTCTTTCATCATTCGAATTTTGGCTGCAATGTTGAGTTTAAATATATCTTGGCTTTGATGGCCAGGCATGCGTTTAATGGCATAGTTCTCCGACAGCGTGATTGTTTTCGGACTGCCGTGAATATTTGATCAAATGATCCATATATACGAGTCCCTAATTCATGTTGGCGTTGCCAAGAATACAAAACTAGGAACTAAAAATTTGTGTCTGAAGAAAGAACGGCACAGGTTCTATTATGTTGATTATGTAAAATACTCAAATAAGCCGTCATTATCGGAAATGTAGTGTTTATTCGTGTCTTAAGAGGTATTTGTCTTGTCCTGCCAGATGAAAATTCTAGGTCCACGTTGTCAGGGTCAATAGTTAGGCTACATTGAAGCAATCTTTACAATGCCGGTGTACAGATTTTGTGATTTATATAGCATTTTCCTTAATCGAAAATGTAACTGGTATCAAGCAGAATTATCGATGTCAGGGTCACTTGTTTCATTAGATTTACTGTACATGGACACCAGTTAACGCAAATATGCGCATATATTAACATTCATTATTACAAATGTTCCGGTTCTTTTAGCCATTGGGCTATACATTGCATACAAAACAAAGGTGTAGATTTTTTTTTCTGCAGTCTGAAGACACCGATTGCCCATAATGCTTCAGTCTGAATATTAAAAATACCGGTAGTCTTCATAAACCTGATAGAATTGGTTGGGATATGGTCCAAAGGTTAGATGATTCCAAAGATTTATTTTGCGCACCTTTGTGCAAGGTGCAAAAGTCCGAAGGATGATTCGACTATGCTATACAAGTACAGCAGATGGACTTTTGTTGAGATGTAAACCAGTGAAATCGCTCCTGAACCTTTAAAAGCAATTGCAGTACTTGGCAAATTAGATTTAACTGGACATTCTTTCCCTCAATGTCAATGTCTGTAGGCCTAGTTCATACACACTGATGATGGGGGACCAACCAGGCCTCAGAATGTCTATATATTGTCTACATTTCTCATGAACTTGACCCTGCAAACAAGAAGCTTTGAAGAAATCCTCTGTACATTTGTTAAGACAATTAAAAACTGTAATGCATTTTTATCCAGTCGTGCAAAGCCACAGGAAGTTTTTTTCACGTCTCTCCGCATTTTGTAGACTGGTACTTGTAGGCCCCAAAGGGTCAGCTTTCCCAACTGACGTGCTCAATACACGGACAGACACATGGAAGCATGAACTAAAGTTTAAAATCGAAACCTTTCATCTTTTTTTTTTTTTTTTTTTTGGAAGAAGCAATTTTATCATTTCATCATGCAACCTTTTGTGGCCTTTCTGATGGGTGAGGCTACATGATTCAAGGCTTTTTGCATGATTTTTGAAAGAAGCGAAATTAAATAAAGCCAAGAATTCACCTTTCCGAGTGGTTATTTTTTTCGACAAGAATGCTCCTTTTGGGGGCCCGGGGGAGACAGTTCCTGTTACCCCCCCCCCGATCCGCCATTGTGATAGTAATCAGATTTCAAAAATATTAATCATGGAACAATCTAGAGAGGGGCAGATTCGGCTTAGGTCTAATAAGAAATCTCGGCTCTTTTACGGTGACGTGGCCCATTTCTGACCGACACTAGGAGCCGAAGCCAGAGAAGTAATATGAAGATAATCTCACGCATTGGTATTAAAGTTCATACTCGAATATGAAGGCGAAGCCAATTTGACGACACGAAATAACCCATTTTATTGGCAGTAAAATTTCGCTGAAGTTGAAATGTGTTCAATTTTTGCGAATTAGCGTCGCGAATATTTGATCTGACATCACGAATTCGCATTTGTGTTCATTTTGGCGTCCAGTATGAACTGGCCCTAAGTATGTTTTAAACTGACCAATGCCAAACAAGAGATAAGTAGCGCTGATTTTTATAGTTAGGCCTATGTACGTATCACCAAAGCGGGCTGGCCGCACCAGCCCTGGATCACGGTTTGTGAACAAAATGTAAGAGTCAATCATTGGCTTGGTAGCGTGAGTTGCCGCCCACTCAAATGAGTATAGTTCGACAATGATCGACCAGTCAGCATCGTTCATCTTTTCAGGTCGACCAGTTATAAGCCCAACTAGAGTTAAGTCGCCCAGGGAATCTATCCGCGGACTGTGAAATTGGTCCTCGGCATTTGTTCAAAAGTTACGCCTGTTTCGGAAATGAGCAATAATTATATATAAAAGCACAAGAACCATTCTTAGAAAAACCAGTCAACTGAAGATAAGATTTGAATGTCAGCTCAGCTCAGTTCGTGACGTTCCAATCCATTAATTCCTTCGTTCTTGTGCACTTCCTGGGTCTGGAATCCAACGATTGTTTTCTGGTAAACGAAACGACTAACTCTGCTAGAGGGCTGGTAAGATTGACGGATTCCTTGATTGGACGGGTACTGCTCAGTGGCGTTTCTAGGTCTTAGGTCAGGACCAAGGATGATTGTTTCTCAAAACGACTGTCCATAAAGAATCTTCACCCCCGCACACACAAAGAAAAGGGCAGGTTCTTTTCTATAGAATACAAGGGCTTTTTGTCGTGTAGGGGCAACTTGTCCCATGACCTCCCGCTGGATTACGCCACTGGTTTTCCGGTTCTGCCGAGATGGATACCAGACACATATATTCTCAGGCTGCATCCGAATCTCTTGTCTAAAGCTAGGTCTAGGTCTTCGCTTCCATTGGAAATGCGTGGAGATGCGTAGACAATAGACCTAGCCCTAGCTCTGGAAGCCCGTTTCGGACACGGCCTCATATTGCACAACATCTTTCAACCTGTTAGGAGTCACGATAGGAACTGTGCGAAAGTAATGCAGATGGAAAACTCTCTCTACGCGGTTGGAAGGGTACCACAGAGGTACTATGAAAGAGCAGTTTGGGTGAAAATCGCTTTTGACCTTTTAACTTAAATCCGCCGCGTGCTTTCTGGATAGTCTGAGCATACAAATAACATAACCGGATATTACGGAGAGGATAACGCTGCCAATGCCAAGGCAAGCTAATCCACGTCCTGAGGGAAATTAAACAGAACCAAACGAACTCTGCAGCTTTGCAGTCGATTAATAAAAGCTCCGGTTTGAGTCAAAGTTCTCGGAATAGTGAAAAAGCGGCATTTTTACCCAACCTGCCTTTAGTGAACAAGTAAAGTTTATATCTTCAGTCCATGGTCATGCCAGACCAAGATTAAAGACAACTGCTCTCATTCGGACTTGTTTACTTACGTCAACCGAGTTTCTTTTTACTATTTTAGAAACCAAACATTAGCGTGTCAAGGATAGGGCCTAACTTGAATATTGTGAGCACCTAATTCTAGTGAACAAGTGTCATTAAACGCAATATTTTGTACACTCCAATTTTTGGTATTTTTTTTAATGTGTGTGCGTGTGTAGAACATGATGTCTTTAATGGACTGCGCCTACACTATAGAAACGATAATTCCATCTGGGACAAAGCATTTGGTTACAGGTGAAAAAAATGGACGATCGCATTTTTAGAAGAACAAATCCCCACCCCATTCATATGTCTCGATGTACTTATCTATCTTGCGACATATACAAGCAAGTCCGTTTTATTCCGATGCAATCACTGTTTCCACGTACATATACAACTGTTCAGAATTCTCACCTCAGTTTTATTTTTTCAATAAGCTTTCAAACATTAAGCTGTTCACTACACCAAATCAATTAAATCTAATCCAATCTGATTTATCAAAATATCTATTCTACATAAAATAACCTTTTCAGTTACATCTGCAAAACATTTAGGCTATGAAATTCTATTTTAATGGCATAATCCAAAATTTGATAGGGTATTAATGCGGTAGAAAACATGGTGACATGACAGTCAACATGAACATGAACATATTTTACAATGGGAAGAACCTTAATTCCCCATCCCTACCCAAGGGAAGGCAGTGGGCACGCACTGTTTTGCAACCCCCCTTTTCCCCTTGACCTATTTCCTTTATAAGGAAAGTAAATGACCCACACTAGTTCAAACTCGTGCTATCTAGTTCTAGCAAATTTGTCCTCATGCCATCTTTCAGGTACAAACTGGCTCCAACAGGTTCAGTCTAGTCCAAGGCAACTTCAGATTGACTGAAATTGATACCATAGATTCTTTATGAACATATCTCGGCCAAAATGTTCCAGTTCAATCTGGTTTCACCTAGTTCAGGCTGCAATTCTAATTTAAAAAACTAAAGGCCAAAAAAAGTCTCCTGTCTCTGGTCAGCGCCCGCATCGCCGTAGACCTGCGCAGATAAAAAGTTGTTTATTTGGTATAAAACGATGTCCAAAAGCCGCCAAACTTGCTTAATCGACTGGAATCCTGCTACTGCGTAATTCTAACGTGTTTTTGATGGGGTACGGTTGAGTGATTATGTACAGTAAAGGAGTCCCTCTAGTTCCCCATACATTTAGTTGGGCAATCTTTTTCAGATGACGATTTCTGTATTATACATTTACATCTAGGAAGCAAACAAACGAGGTGGTCTTATGTCCTGTGTACATGTACAAGCTAAAAATGCTTTTAAACAGTAAAAGTACAGGGGGCAGTCGATTTTAGTGTTGGTAGCGGTCGGAGTTACGAGCGCATGCATCGTACATCATTTCCACAGAAAAAGTTAGGGGAAAAAAGCTACATCGTCACAGAAACTGGAGACTTTTGTTGGCTTAAGTTTTATTTAATCTTACCTGGAATCGATCACTTCTGTTACATCTGACCGAAAATGGTTCATTCAACATAAATGCATTCAAAACCCACTATAATCTGGCTTGCTCTTATTTTGCTGCAGAATGAACTTATGAGCCTCAAAAACCACCCATTAACTGGATCAATCCGGTATCATCTGGCTAAGTTTGGATGCATCCAGCGTGGGCAAACTATAAAATGTAACGAGCGTTTTCAATGTGATGTAAGGTTCAACAGCTAGGAAATCTGGATCAATCTGGTTTAATCTAGCTAAGTTGCGTCCAGAGTAATTTCGACAGTGAGCTATTTCAATGCGATGTATGATATTAACAGCTGCTAGATATCTGGATCAATCTGGTTTGATCTAGTGTGGTCTGGTTACATGTAGAATAGGCTTACGGCCAAGCAGTGATGAGTGACTTCTGTGTGATGTAAGGTTGATCAGCTACCAGGTATCTGGTTCTTCAAACAACTTCTGTTTTTCTCCTTTTTGGGAACTGTCTGTGAAAATCAAGCAAGAAGAAACAGACTAAGACTCTGTCTTAAGGTTTTGAATTCGAGCTTTAGATTTCAATTCAGGGTATTTTAAAGCACTTGAAAAATTTATCTGATTGGAATAGCTGGTACCTGGTTGCAAACTAACACCATTCAGATAGACGACTCCTTCCGAGGATTTACAAGCTAAAGTTTATAGACTGTAAAGATATATATGGACTACAAGTCAAAACTTTCTCATTTGTGAAACCAAACCATTTAGAGTTGGAATTCACATGCATTTATGACCTTGGTGATGCACTTATGACCTCGGTGATGCATTTATGATCTTTATGATTTGTTGAAAGTTTCAGCAAGATTTACCTTCTTTTCTAGATTTCCAAAATGACAGGTTTTCTTACCTTTTGATTCCGCATCACCAGTGTCTTTCAAGCCATCTTTCTGTAGCTCAGTCGGAGGATCTTTATCTGAAGAATCCTGCTGGGGTGTTTGCTGGTTACCTGATGAAGTAACTTCAACAGGAGAGACACTACTCCTCGAAACAAAGACTGGGGCGCTACAAAAACAGGAAAAAAAGTTCAGATTAAACCAGAATCATAAAGTTGTAACACGTTGGTTCACATGTTGCATGCACTCTTAAATTCTGAGATGAGATGTAACTATGGCAACATGTACGCTTTTGGTAGGAGCTTGATGAGTACATACTGGGGGATGGAGCATATTGTCTTGGACATACACGTAGGTGCATCATCACTTTACCATCAGCTTGAAGTTGTAATGGTGTGATTAGCCTGTGGAAAGTATCCTTGATTCACAACAGACGTAAGAGCTATGTGTACTGAACACATCTTGTGCTAAGCTGTGTCTACATCAAATGGCTATGGCTGACAACAGCATGGACATCTATGACAGCCACTGGCTAGTGGCTGTGTGTTATTCTTTGCCATAACCAGTTGATCTGGACATGACTACGGACTCAGTTATGCTCACTTTGGATCCATTGGTTTGTGCTTCTTTCCTCCAACACCAGTCAGTTCTGCAACCTCTGAATCTTCACCTCTGACTTCAGAGGCATCATGTGGCCGCTTCAAACCTCTTGGTGCACTGAATGGTGTCGTGTTTGCCTTGTTGTTAGAATGGTGTCCTAGCTCGCTGGTGCTAGACTGTGCCAAGTCCATGGGCATTTCTGGTGTTGCATTCAGTACAGCCCTCTTATATTCTTTGAAAGTCTTAAGAGCATAGTCTGGTGACAGTTCAATAGTCTTCATCACTGAAAAAAAGGCAGACGCAAACAAATCTATCACAAGACCATCTATATCCGTAGGAACAGTTCATAGGTTAAAACATGATCACGAACTCCTAAAGTATGGACTTACTCCCCAATTTGTTTTGTGCACACAGTATCTGAGAAGCCTGTTGAGATGAACCATGCATTGAGCTTCTTCTTGGTTGTATAGTTCACTGTACATGCACATATTACAATAACTGCAATGTGAGGGACCTTTTAAGGCCTTTCTGAGGGGTAGGGTTAAATACTTAGGCTTTTGACGTGTCTTTGTAAGGAAAGGAAATTAAGTGAAATAATCGACACCCCAAAATTACGTTTCATCATTTTTCAAAGCTGTTTAGATTAAAGCTGGTGGTGCACATGACTGTTTCTTGGCTGAGTTGACCAATCCAGAAAGAAGCTGGAGTTTGTGAGTTTGGAAGCCAGGTCAAAATATAGATCCCCTCTGCATTTCTCAAGAAAAACTAAATTGCATTTCATTGGGCCAGATTCTAGATTTGCCTAATCAAATTCCAAAATACTAGTAACTTCAAGGGCACACTTTTCGAAAGTCTCCAATTTGTCAACATTAACTTTGATGGACATGAATGTACTCTTTGGATATTGCCAAAAAGGCTTATACAAAGTTGAATTTCTCCAACAGTTTCGGCATAAACAGTTTAAGCATAAACAAATTCACTTGTCTGTGTTTTTCTGATGGCTATGCACAGTAACCCATCAAGCCCTAAGACCTCAGCTAATGCTATTTAGTTCGGTGTTCTGATCAGTGCCTCCAACAACTTGTCAGGGAAAACTTCACTGTACGTAAAGCTTTAATGTCTGCTAAAACCTGATCATTCGGCTAAAATTCATTCTGGAGTTTACACATAGGACCAGATTAACATGCACTTTCACAGCCAAGCAGCACATGCTACTGGAAAGTTGGAAAAGCTTTTATATGTGTCTTCACAGAATGCTCTCAATTATTTCAGACATACATGTGAGCTGAAAAGAGAAGTAAAGGCCAACATTAAGTCTATAAGGGAACTTCAATCAGCTATTGCCGAGAGCAGAGTCAACCCAACAGAGAAATATTACTAGCAACTGAGACTCCAAATTTGATTGATTGATTTTGTTCTGTTCAGATGTATGTAGTACAAGATGCTGGTGAGTTGACAGTGATGGGTACACTTCTGAGCCATCACCTTGCCAACGCTAAATCGTATTCCTGAAAATCCAGGCAAAATTCCATCAATGGAGATGGAGTATCTGGTTCGTAAGTGTGACGCCACTTCAGTTTAAACCACGCCCACTGCACAAGATACAGAACCATTGCAGGTAGTTCGCGGTAAAGTGTTAGTTTTTCTTTTGATTTTATTTTTTCCACAAAAATTTGCAGCCTGAAAAGTCTGAATTTAACATACCTTTATGTATTTTGTGTCTTGACTCCTTACTTTCAATCATCTGATCGTATTAAGAATTGAAGCTGACACATGCAGCCTCGTTTTCAAACAAGGAAGTGCGCAGATCGACGCTAAAAGCGTCGTATTGGGATCCCTCGATATATGTTTGCTCTCTGGAATTTCCCAACCTTTCTGGCTGACAACAGCAAACAGGTACATAAATGTATGTAAAGTGTATGTGACCATCTTTTAATCCTTTCAATTCCTGGGAAGGAGGGACTAAATTCTGGCCCACTGCCAACAGTTTTTTTATGCAGTGGACCAGGAGGGGAACCCCAACAAAGAACCCACTGGGCTATTTTTAACTTGCACCTGTTACCGTTACTTATAAAGAAAGCATTTACATACATACAAGTAAGAAGGCCCTTTACACTCATTAATTATCTCTGATAACATCAGGCTGTTGGCAGGTCAGTTTTATGTCTTCAAATGGTCACTAAAAGGTTCAAAATCAATGAATAACCAACCAGATGTAGAAGCACACCGATTTTGTTGCCAAGGATCAAGGAGGTGAACGTTACGCAGTTCAAAGTACTTTATGTCCAAGTACAACTCCATCCAGATTAGATCTCCATTCCACTGACAGTGTCAAAACATAATGACAGGCCAAGCAATTCTCACAACTGTTTTAAACTACAAGATAGAGGTAGCTTCAAGTTATTACATCTAGAGAGTATAACACTGATAATATGTGAATGTTTAAAAACAATTCAGTCATAAAAAAAATCTTTCCAGTTTGTTATCACTTTTGTAACAGCTGTCACAGATTTCCACTACCTTAACATGACTCAATATCAAAACACAAAAGAACCGACATCATATCTTGGATGCTTTATTTTGGCATGTTCATTAACCCACTCTTGAAACAGATAGGGTGAACAAGTCATCAGTGAGAATGATTGCTTCCCTTCATGATAATTTCATTAACAACCAACTTTGATGTTATGAACTGCATAATTCCTGTATTCTTTTGGAGTAACACTGATGCCAAGCGATGTCTGTGTTATTTGTTTGCCCTGACAGGGCACATTTTATATGAAGCATACATTTTGAAGAGGAACAAACTCTTGATGTTAAAGGTGAAAATAGACAAAAGGAGCCTAAAATTAGCCTGGGCAAGGCCATAATCTCTTCTGCACGCATCCGAAAACACAACAGACAGCTGTAGAAATAGGTAAAAACCAGGCTATTGAGGCTTACACAAAACTCATCCTCTGAGTGATCTTTGTTTGAAGCATTCATGACAAAGTGAAGCAATACCACACAGAATTTTATTGACAACCACAATGTTTTCAACACCAACTATTACCACAATATAAATCCCACCAAGAGGTCTAGTTCAGATGTAAGCCCTTTTCCCATGCACTAACAATATCGGGCAGTTGAATAAAGACTAGGAAGGTTATAAATCACTACACGAGGCAAGTGGTTGCTACTTCCGTAAATGCACCCAACAAAGTCCTTTTCAAGGTCTCATGCAATGAGTGACGCTGATCAAAGCAAGTACAATGCTTCAGCATCATACATGTACCTGGGCTGTTTATGACAAGTGCATGCACAAGGATCCCTGGCCAAAGTCAACAAAATAACACACATTCTCCTATCATTCAGGTTTGTAGATATAAGCACTTGAACTATTATCTTGATCACTAAGCTAAAAATGTACTTCCCGGAAACTCCTGCTGCAGCCCAGTGGGGATTTTACGCCCAAAAAGTCCCTTGCCTCTCCTTACATGTACCAGTACATGTAAGGTGTATGGCATGTGGACTGTGACACTTCATTTTCTTTCAATGCACAATGCTTCTCATGGATTTCATTTTGATTAATTCTAACCTTCATACTGTCTCATTACCATCTTCTTACAAATGCTCCTGGTTTACTCTCTCTTGTCTTCTTTTCTGTTTTCTATTTTTTGGGATATTGAGCACTCTAGACAACAGATGTCTTAGGAACAAGGTGCAAATATGTGGGTTGCCCACAGTGTTTGTGATACAAGGTTTTAGGGATAGATCATGCACAAACAAGTGGTCCAAGAATGTGGGTTAATTGGACTGAACTGACCTACAGAAAGCTGGCAAAGTTGGGAGGTTTCTCAAGATCACCTTCACAGATTATGGTGCTTTGGCTGGCTAAAGTCAATTATTAGATGATAATTGTTTCGTGTGGTATGAAGGGCTGAACCAAATAACCAATCAATTATCGAATGTATTCAAATATCATTTTCCGATTTTGAATGGTCAAATGCAAAATTCACAAAAAGGGAGAAGAGTTGCACTAAGGAGGCTTGTTTCTAGCAATTAAATGAAAAGTGACAGAAATCTTACGATTTCAAAAGTGACTTATTCAACAAAAAAAAATTAAAAGGGATAGAAATTTTCAACAGGGCAAGAAGTAGTACTGGTCTCTTAAAGTTTGCTAAA